CTGTCTGAGGCAGGACGTGTACTGAGGAGGAAGGCACAGTTCAAGTGGCGAGCCATACTGACACCGCCGTGTATATGGTGTGGGGTAAATGTAATAGGCTGAACGCTGGCTAATCAGAATAAGGGCAGGGGTGAGCCGCTGGCCAGGATCGAAGGCTGGTCAGTCAGAACAAAGAAAGGGGTGACCAAGTGTCCGTGACCGTGAGCAGCGCTTGACGCGCGCCTCGCGTCATGATGTCCCGACACTACGGACGGACATACATAGCAAGCCCAATTAAAAGTTGCACGCAGTGCCTATTAAGCGCTGGAAGTAAATTTTTACTTATCATATGGACTCCGCAACGGCTTACTCACCGCTCGGTTAGGGTAGCTTATAAATATAACCAGCAATATTATCTGCCTATACTACCAGTTGCTACGGCAGTTAAGGCTTCTGGTCAGACCCAAGGCTGAGCGGGACAGATGAGCTCCGTTAGAGGTCGAGTGAAAGTTCATCAACGAGTATAACCATAGTATCATATAACCCAAAATATCTGTAATATGCAAACGAAATTACAATCCATCCTACTGTAAAAGATTCTTTATAACTAACGAAAGGCAAGTTAAATGAAACCATTTACATAGTTGATATGCACAAGTATTTAAATACAAATTAAACATAGCATTAATAAAAAAGGTGTTAATTATTTGCAAAGATTTGGTTCCTTTTAAAATACGTTGTTCAATGAAGAACGAAGACTCGTCGGAAAATGGAGTTTTACTCGTGAATTTTCGAGCTAATAACGCTAGCTCTTCGTCAGACTGAATGAATATGACGGCTGAGATAGTCGCTGTAGGAAGTTTGGGGGTATAGGTTTCATCGAACAGGTGGTAGTGTGCGGGGGGTGGGTAGGGTGACGTGAATCCTGCTGCGATAGGCGCTGCAAGTGAAAGGGGTGTGAACGTTTCGATTGTGAGCCACGTGCCTGGAGGGAGGCAGAGTCAGCGGAGTTCCACTTGGCTGACCTCTGTTGTTTCAGGTGGGGCGCTAGTAGACCGTGCGTGCAAACCAGCGAAATGTGAATCAAGATCCACGTGCCTGTTTATGCGGTTTAGGCCGGAGTGCCAAGCTTCGAGAAATTCTCGTGCGTCTTTTGTATTAGCCGTGGCAACCACTTACGTTCCGTCCCAATTAAAGCGGTGGTCATTAGCAATAGCGTGCGCAAACAAATGAGACAATGGGTCATGTCTTCGGATGACCAGCTTATGTTCATTTATGTGGGTCCGATTTGTGTGACCTATGTAGGCACTAGGGCAATCAGCACATGAAATGCGATAAATTACTTTGGTTTGGTGCTCTTTGTTATATTTAACCCGAGTTAGGGTTGCCCTCAAGGAGGACGCCGGCTTGTGAGCGATGCTGACACCGAACCGATTTAATTGTCGGATGATCACTTAAGAAAGTCCTTGCATGTAGGGTAAGGAATAGAATGTCCACTGTACCACTTCTGCATTAGAGCTCCGATCTTCTGA